TTCAACACCTATTTATGATAAAAAACCCTGCAGAAAGTAGGCATAGAGGGAACTTTCCTCAACATAATAAAGGCCATATACGACAAACCCACAGCCAACATCGTCCTCAATGGTGAAAAACTGAAACCATTTCCACTAAGATCAGGAACAAGACAAGGTTGCCCACTCTCACCACTCTAATTCAACATAGTTTTGGAAGTTTTAGCCACAGCAATCAGAGAAGAAAAGGAAATAAAAGGAATCCAAATCGGAAAAGAAGAAGTAAAGCTGTCACTGTTTGCAGATGACATGATACTATACATAGAGAATCCTAAAGATGCTACCAGAAAACTACTAGAGCTAATCAATGAATTTGGTAAAGTAGCAGGATACAAAATTAATGCACAGCAATCTCTGGCATTCCTATACACTAATGATGAAAAATCTGAATGTGAAATTAGGAAAACACTCCCATTACCATTGCAACAAAAAGAATAAAATATCTAGGAATAAACCTATCTAAGGAGACAAAAGACCTGTGTGCAGAAAATTATAAGACACTGATGAAAGAAATAACAGATGGAGAGATATACCATGTTCTTGGATTGGAAGAATCAACATTGTGAAAATGACTCTACTACCCAAAGCAATCTACAGATTCAATGCAATCCCTATCAAACTACCACTGGCATTTTTCACAGAACTAGAACAAAAAATTTCACAATTTATATGGAAACACAAAAGACCCCGAATAGCCAAAGCAATCTTGAGAAAGGAAACAGAGATGGAGGAATCAGGCTCCCTGACTTCAGACTATACTACAAAGCTACAGTAGTCAAGACAGTATGGTACTGGCACAAAATCAGAAATATAGATCAATGGAGCAGGATAGAAAGCCCAGAGAGAAACCCACACACATATGGTCACCTTATCTTTGATAAAGGAGGCAAGAATATACAGTGGAGAAAAGACAGCCTCTTCAATAAATGGTGCTGGGAAAACTGGACAGCTACATGTAAAAGTGTGAAATTAGAACACTCCCTAACACCATACACAAAAATAAACTCAAAATGGATTAACGACCTAAATGTAAGGCCAGAAACTATCAAACTCTTAGGGGAAAACATAGGCAGAACACTCTATGACATCAATCACAGCAAGATCCTTTTTGACCCACCTCCTAGAGAAATGGAAATAAAAACAAATGGGACCTAATGAAACTGCAAAGCTTTTGCACAACAAAGGAAACCATAAACAAGACCAAAAGACAACCCTCAGAATGGGAGAAAATATTTGCAAATGAAGCAACTGACAAAGGATTAATCTCCAAAATTTACAAGCAGCTCATGCAGCTCAATAACAAAAAAACAAACAACCCAATCCAAAAATGGGCAGAAGACCTAAATAGACATTTCTCCAAAGAAGATATACAGATTGCCAACAAACCCATGAAAGAATGCTCGATATCATTAATCATTAGAGAAATGCAAATCAAAACTACAGTGAGATATCATCTCACACCGGTCATAATGGCCATTACCAAAAAATTATAAACAATAAATGCTGGAGAGGGTGTGGAGATAAGGGAACCCTCTTGCACTGTTGGTGGGAATGTAAATTGATACAGCCACTATAGAGAACAGTATGGAGGTTCCTTCAAAACCTAAAAATGGAACTACCATACGACCCAGCAATCCCACGACTGGGCATATACCCTGAGAAAACCATAATTCAAAAAGGGTCATGTACCAAAATGTTCATTGCAGCTCTATTTACAATAGCCAGGACATGGAAGCAACCTAAGTGTCCATCGACAGAATAATGGATAAAGAAGATGTGGCACATATATACAATGGACTATTACTCAGCCATAAAAAGAAATGAAATTGAGTTATTTCTAGTGAGGTGGATGGACCTATAGTCTGTCATACAGAGTGAAGTAAGTCAGAAAAAGAAAAACAAATACCGTATGCTAGCACATATATATGGAATCTAAGAGAAAAAATAAAAGTCATGAAGAACCTAGGGGCAAGACGGGAATAAAGACACAGACGTACTAGAGAATGGACTTGAGGAGGCAGGAAGGGGTAAGTGTAAGCTGGGACAAAGTGAGAGAGTGGCATGGACATATATACACTACCAAATGTAAAATAGATAGCTAGTGGGAAGCAGCTGCATAGCACAGGGAGGTCAGCTCGGTGCTTTGTGACCACCTAGAGGTGTGGGATAGGGAGGGTCGGAGGGAGGGAGACACAAGAGAGTAGAGATATGGGGACATATGTGTCTGTATAACAGATTCACTTTGTTATAAAGCAGAAACTAAGACACCATTGTAAAGCAATTATACTCCAATAAAGATGTTAAAAATTAATTAATTAGCTAACCATTTTTTTTTAAAAAACCACAATGAGATATTGCCTCACACCTGTTAGGATAGTTTATTAAAATAACAAAAGACAACAAGTGTTGTCAAAGATGAGGAGAAATTGGAACCCTTGAGCACTGTTCATGGGATTTGTAAACTGATGCAGCCACAGTGGAAAACAGTATGGAGGTTCCTTAAAATTTTTTAAATAGAACCACTTTTTTATCCAGCCATCTCACATCTGAGTGTTTATCCAAAAGACTTGATCTGGATCTCGAAGAGATGCTTGCACTCCTGTGTTGATTGCAGTAGTATTCATAATAGCCAAGATAGGGAAGCAACCCAAGTGTCCACTGAAAGATGAATGGATAAAGAAAATGCAGTCCATACATACAAGGGAATATTATTCTGCCTAAAAAAAGAAAGAAACCTTGTTATTTGCAACAGCATTGGTAGACCTGGAGGACATTATATCACTACTAAGTGAAATAAGCTAGACACAGAAAGACAAATACTGTATGATTTCACTTATATGTGGAATCTAAAAAAGCTGAACTTGTAGAACCAGACAGTAGAGTGGTGGTCACCAGGGACTGGGGTAGGGGAAATGGAAGATTCCAGTGAAGGGTATCGAGTTTCAGTTATGTAAGATGAATGGGTTCTGGAGATCTAATGTAAAGCGTGGCGACTATAGGTTACAACAGTGTGCAATATACTTGAAATTTGCAGAGGGTAGATCCTAAGTCTTCTTACCACACACACACATACACACACACACACGCAGTAACATTGTGAGGGGATGGATGTGTTCATAAGCTTGATTGTAGTGACTATTTCACAATGTGTATGTATATCACATTGACAATTTGCACACTTTAAGTATATACCAACGAAAAATGAAAAAGAAAACTGACCTACGTCACAAAGGTCACTGTCTCCTTGGAGACCCATGTCTTCAGGCTTCACCCTCCTTCCCATGTTTGCATGTCCTTCCTCTCTCACTGTCCCCTCACAGGTGTTAGTATGCTCCAGCTCCTTGGGCTTTGCTTCGTCTCTGGCTACCACTCGCTCTCTTTCCTTCTCACCTCACATTCTCCACTTGGTGATTTACACTCACTGCTGGTCTGAATGTTTGCATCCCCCAGATTCATATGTTGAAACCTAATCCCCAATATGATGGTCTTACGAGGTGAGGCCTATGGGAGGTGATTAGGTCATGAGGGTGGAGCCCTCAAGAATGGGATTAGTGCCTTTATAAAGAGACCCCAGAGAGCTCCCTCACCCCTTCCACCATGTGAGGACACAGCAAGTCAGCAGTCTGCAATCTGGAAGTGGGCTCTCACCGAATCTGTTGGTGCCTTGATTTTGGGCTTCCAGACTTCAGAACTGTGAGAAGTAAATTTCTGTTTATAAGTCAAAAAAAAAAGTTATTGTTTTATTTCTAGCTATGCTTTTGCCCCAATGTTTAAGATGAAAAGAAAACTCTTTAGTAACACTATCACAAAGAATACTTATTGGGGGCAATTTTACTGACTGTCAGATTTGTCATCACATTCCTTGGTCAATACAAGGCCAATATAAGTCCCTCATAAGTCTTTTCACTGACCTTTCAGATGTTCCTATAATCTATAAAATGTTTCCCCATCAGCATATACCTCCATGTTTGTTTACCACATTCAATTAATCTACTCAATTCTGAAGTTTCTATGATGAGAAAATGATGTTGCAAAACCAAATGGTTCTTGATTTTTAAAACGACTTTGCGGGGGGAAACATGCTATAATCCAGACAATGTTGTGCTTTTATATCAGATGATTTCTCTAATATAACCATCTAATGACTCACATACAAAATCAAATTTCTGCATTGAAAGATCCCCTTTCTAGTCTAAATGAAATCTTGGGTAAATGGTTCTGTTCTGGGGATTTGCTGTTTAAATCTCTGCTTCTGACTCTGTTATTGTTGTTGGCTATATTGATTGTGTTCTGTATCATTTATAGAATCAATCTCTTGTGCCTCTCAACTTATATTCAAAACTCCAACTAAAATAATAATGTCTAAATGACTTGAAACTATTGATCATATCTGTAATTCTATATAAAATAATGGGCATGCACAATGCACATACGGGATAAAATTGGCATAAGTCCTATTGGACAACCTAGAATTGACTTTCAGTCCTTGCCAAGCATTCTACTAGACTAACCCCCTAAAAGGAAAGAAAGAACTGAGGCTTTTAAGACCTGGCATCGAGGGACATGATGGATCCAGGGCAGGTAAGCAACTATCCTGGCATCGGGGGACAAAAATATTTGATCACCTAATGCTTTCTATTGAAAGATTAATGACGAAAGGGGGAAGATGATGAAATAAAATTTATATTTTAAGGAAGGACAAGAAAAAATTAAAACATAAAATTCTCCCTCTGTGTTTCTTTGGGCCTCCTCCCTCCCTCCCTAATGTGCAGTGTGTGTCTGCCTTACACATTAACTAGAGTTCCTCAAAGATGGGAGTGTCTGCTCAACTGTAAAGATCATTTTTTTTCTTTTTTCTTCTGATGCTAGCAATGTTACTTCTTAAAGGAATAGTGTTCTGCTTTCTGCCCGTGGATGCCACCAAGTAAGCATCATTAAAGTCTCCCCCCTCTACTGCTGTCATGTCTAAGTCAGAGTCTCCCAAAGAGTCCCAACAGTTGTGGAAGCTCTTCATCAGAGATTTGAGCTTTGGAACAACCAATGAGAGTCTGAGGAGCCATTTTGAGCAAAGGGGAATGCTCATAGACTGTGTGGTAATGAGGGATCCAAACACCAAGCGCTCCAGAGGCTTTGGGTTTGTCACATATGCCATTGTGAAGGAGGTAGACGCAGCCATGAATGCAAGGCCACACAAGATGGATGGAAGAGTTGTGGAACCAAAGAGGGCCGTCTCAAGAGAAGACTCTCAAAGATCTGGTGCACACTTAACAGTGAAAAAGATTTTTGCTTGTGGCATTAAAGAAGACACTGAAGAACATCACCTAAGAGGTTATTTTGAACATTTGGGAAAATTTGAAATGACTGAAATCATGACAGACCAAGGCAGTGGCAAAAAGAGAGGCTTTGCTTTCGTAACTTTTGATGACCATGACTCTATAGACAAGATTGTTATTCAGAAATACCACACAGTGAATGGCCATGACTGTGAAGTAAGGAAAGCCCTTTCAAAGCTAGAGATGGCTAGTGCTTCATCCAGCCAAAGAGGTCAAAGTGGTTCTGGAAAATTTGGTGGTGGTCACTGAGGTGATTTTGGTGGGAATGACAACTTTGGTTGTGAAGGAGACTTCGGTGGTCAAGGTGGCTTTGGTGGCAGCTGTGATGGTGGTGGATATGGTGGCAGTGGGGATGGCTATAGTGGATTTGGTAAAGATGGTGGTTATAGAGGAGGTGGCCCTGGTTACTCTGGAGGAAACAGAGGCTATGGAAGTGGTGGACAGGGTTATGGAAACCAGGGCAGTGGCTATGGAAGGAGCAGAAGCTGTGACAGCTATAACAATGGAGGAGGCAGAGGCAGCTTTGGTGGTGATAATGGAAACAATTTTGGAGGTGGCAGAAGCTACAATGATTTTGGCAATTACAACAATCAATCTTCAAATTTTGGACGCATGAAAGGAAGAAACTTTGGAGGCAGAGGTTCTGGCCCCTATGGTGGTGGAGGCCAATACTTTGCCAAACCACAAAACCAAGGTGGCTATTGCAGTTCCAGCAGCAGCAGCAGCTATGGGAGTGGCAGATGGTTTTAATTACTGTCAGGAAACAAAGCTTAGTAGGAGAGGAGAGCCAGAAAAGTGACAGGGAAGCCACAGGTTGCAGCAGATTTGTGAACTCAGCCAAGCACAGTGGTGGCAGGGCCTAGCTGATACAAAGAAGACATGTTTCAGACAATATTCATGTGTATGGGTAAAAAAAACCTCAAGGACTGTATTTGTGACTAATTGTATAACAGGTTATTTTAGTTTCTGTTCTGTGGAAAGTGTAAAGCATTCCAACAAAGGGTTTTAGTGTAGGTTTTTTTTGCACCCATGCTGTTGATTGCTAAATGTAATAGTCTGATCATGATGCTGAGTAAATGTCTTTTTTTAAAATGTGCTGTGTAAAGTTAGTCTACTCTGAAGCCATTTTGGTAAACTACTTCAAGAGTGTGAAGTTAGAATTCCTTCAGGGTGATGCCAGGTTCCATTGGAAATTTATTTACAATGTACTTGGGTGGAGGAACCATTGTTTTCAAAAACCCTGGTGTAGTTGAACTGACAGCTACTGTGTTGTGACCTGGAGTTCACCGTTAAAATGGTCACCCAAGCAAAGTCATGGCGTTTTTTGGTTATTAATATGATTGTTGGGACTCCTATGCAATATATCTAAATTGAATTATGGTACCAGATAAACTTATAGATGGGAATGAAGCTTGTGTATCATCCATTATCATGTGTAATCAAAAAATGATTTTATACCCTCTTAAAAAAAAAAGGATAGTGTCCTTTCCCAGCTCTGTAAAGGGTCATGATGACTTTCTGCTCACTTTGTATGTGTTTACCTGCACTATGTATCCTTGGTGACGCTTTATGTAAAATATCAGTATGCCACTTTGAGATATCATCCTTTGTCTCAAAAATGTGTATGACTATGCCTTCAACTTCTAACAGGCAGAGCTTTCTGAGGATCTGCTTCCCATGTTGTAATCCTTATTTTGGCTCAAATAAAATTCTCTTTTTTCTTCTTAATAGTTAATTGAGTTTTCATCAACAGTCTGAAGATGGAATATGCTCTGTATGTCCAAAATGGGTATTTACTAAACTGAAGTGTTTAGCAAAATTCCTAGAAGAGTCTGAAGTAATGTTAAGATCTTCATCTGAGGCCCAAGGCCTCAGGTCAGTTCTCAGGGAAGCCCCTAGGTATGGAGGGAGAGTCTGCATCTCGGGTCAAGGTAGTTTGTTCCTTCTTAGTTGCGGAATCCTGACTGATGCTTGAATGGCTCATGTTTCATCTTATCTACCCATGGGTGATGATATTTACCTCTCAGAGTTTCTAGGAAGATTAAACAAGATGAGAAAAATCCTAGACACAGGATACCCTTGGCACATTAGTCACAACCAGTTCCCAACCTCCCCCTCCTCTCTCTTTCCCTCTCTCCTCCCCTATCCAGGGCTGACGTCTCCACAGGACAGGATGCAGAGGTATTGGAGCTCAGCAGGCAGGGGATGGCCAGATGTGGAGGGAAAATGTGGCCACCGCCTGCACCAGGCCTCCTGGGTCATGTGCCTGATGGGGACTGCAGGGTTTGTCTCCCCCTCCCTGCCACACCTCCTTCCTGGCCCAGACTCACCAGTCACTCACTAAACAAAGACAGAGACGTTCAAAGGATTAAAAAGGCTAGTGTTTCTGTCCCAAATGTTCCAGGTTGAGGGCCTGTGCAATCAGACTGTGGTTTTCCTCAACATCCAAAAAATCCTGCATAATGAACATAAATACAAGGAAAATTATTTCAGCACATGCTTTCTGAATATTTTTTTTTGTTATGGAGATTTTTCTATGGGCTAGATGCTTCACACATATTATCTTATTTAACATTGTAAGGATACATTTTTAAATGAATTATTCCTGTTGTTAAGAGGGAAGGAGACCTTTCCCCCACCTTTCCTAGACCATTTCTGTGAGAAACTTAGTGACTGTGAATATTTTCTCTAATCTTTTGATATGTGTATAAATTTTTGTAAAGATAAGCCACTTGCCAGTTTGATAACCCGGAAATATTTTGCAGTTGACTGGGGCTCATCCCTTTTGAAATGTAAACACCTGAGAAGGTGACACCTCACTCTCCTGTCACTGTAGAGTTTAACCTAAGTGCCTTTCTTGGAGCTGTAACCATCTGCTAGCAGGGAAGATTGTAACAGAAATTTATTATCCCCTTGGATAAAGGCGATTAACTAGACCAAGTTGTTCCTTGATTTCCAAGTGAGTTTAGTCAGGTCCTCTATGGGAAGGTGAGGTGTGTTAACCATGAGAGTTTATATATGTTGTGGTTAAAAATAGGGTGTCATAGAACAGCTGTGGCAGCTTGGCTGTATAAGTGGGTGGTATAACTGCCTTTGCTATCTCTCTTCACAGATAACCTGCAATGCATTGTACTCTGATATGCTTGTTCACTAGTAAAACTGCTTGCTTTCTTCTCTGTTTTGCAGAGAGCACTCTGTTTTGGTAGGAATTTACTTCCCCAACAATAATCATTAGAGCCCTCATTTTATAGATGAGGAAACTGAGGTGAGGAGGTGAATAGGCCAGTGGGTGTCAGAGCTCAACAAGCTTCCTGAACAACAGTTCACCCAAGGCTTTCAGATGGCCTTACTGGTTACATTGACAGCACACTTCATATTCCTGTGACTGGACTTTATCAGATCTGCAGCTGGAAAAAGCCTGTGGAAGATTTGCTTTGTAAATTGTGAAGTGCTACAAAAATGTCGGGCCTTCTTATGATACAGGCCATTAGGTGAACACCTATATAACAAGAAGCTTCCAGGAGGATGGAGGGTCTAGCCTGGGCATTACAAATAAAATCAATAGAATGATTTTATTTAATGAGTTGTAATATTTGTATATTTGTAATTTAATGATTTGTAATAAAATCACACTAATGTAAAGTTAAGTTTTCTTTTAGGTAAGTTACTAAGTTTAGCTGGACTTCAGTTTTTTAATCTGAAAAAAGTAGACAAATTCTAACACAGCTGACCAGAACTGTATTAGAGGGTTCTAGGTACTTTCACACAAAGCATTTTGTGGCAAACATTTCTGCCTCATAACTAATTGGCCATAAGGCAATTTTTCCATGAAAGATAAAATAACTGGTTGATAGCTTAGTTTCAACGGGTTGAAATCCATTAGCATTTCTTCCAGTTAATGACGTTATAAGTGGCTTTATCAAGCTGAAAGATGACAATGATCTGCCCCAAGAGTTGGTTTATTTTGAAACACACTACACTGGAGGAGAAAGAGGCCAAGGATCTTGAAGGTACAGGGTTGAACCCACATTCCCCATAGAACTTTGGAATGTCTATCAATGGGCATGTGACAATATGCAAAGAACAAACACTGTAGAAGGTTTCATGATGCAACACAGAGCTCAGGATGCATAAACATGCATCCTAGTGTTTGGAAACTGATGCCTCTCTTAAGGAAGGAAGACATTTTAGTGATAAAGAAAAAAGTCTGATGACAAATGAGAAGACAACAAATTTTTAAAAATATGTATAAAACGCTACGAACAAAAGACTTGGAAGACAAGTGCTAAGGTACAACCCACAGAATAAAATCAGTTATTTGTGCAGTATTGCCATGGATCTACACACATTTTATTTACTGCTACTTTAACTTTTAAGGTGAAATTGCCTTATTTGTTATTTGGCAGAAATGTTTGTGGCAAAGAGATCTACAGCAAAGACACTTACGATGAAAATACCAGACAGGGTATTAGAAATCGCAAACCTCTCAATTCTCACCTGGTGTTCTGGTGGTAGGTCACATTGTCAGAACTTTGGAAGCCATGAGAACAGAGATAAGGAGACAAAGTATCCTGACTAGTCATCATCTAGCACTTTCTAAGTAAAAATATGTTCCATGCCTTTCTGAGAATGGCCACACACGTTGGCATCCTGTGTGTGGCACTGGTCCCACTCCCAGAGGTCCTGATTAACTGGTCTGAAGTGCCCCTTCCTGTGGGTGTTTTGTAAACCTCTCTAGATCATTGTAACATGCATCTCCTTGCTAAGCAACGTCTGCCCCTCTTCCAAGTGGCTCCGTTCCATCAGAAGGCAATCCTCTGTGAGTTAGTGCAGAACAAACATCATTTCTAATGTGGCAAGTCCATGATTCTGAGTCAGGACATGTTCAGGGGCTGACTTAACTGAAAGTCTAAGAGAACCAGGGAGGAGACTGGGAGAGGAAGGAGAGAAGACCAGCTGCTCACTGCCCAAGGTTTAGAGGCTGTAGATGAGGAGTCAGGCTTGAGGAAGTGACCAGTTTAAAAACAGGCAACTGGGGGAGCCGTTGAGTGATGGTTGAACCTAAGTCGATCTGACTCCAAAATCTTCCTGAATCCAACAATCACGCAAATAGCCTTAAAAATTGTGAAGCTGTGATGGGCCATTCGTGGGCCTTACTTCCTTGCATCAGTTCTCCCATTTTATCTTCACCACAACCCTATGAAATTGGTACTTTGTCTCCATTTTCTAGATAAGAAGATTGGAGACATTGAGATGTTAATAACGTGCCTGACAACACACAATCAGGAGCAAGCCCAGAAAGTGTGGCTCTGGAGCCATGGCATCCAGGGTGGCAGCCACCACCCACATGGGGCATTGAGATGTGCTGTAAGTGTAAAATTCTCACGAAATTTTGAAGACTTAGTACTAAAAATAAGTAAACTGTATAATTAGTGTTTATGTTGATTACATGTTTAAATGATATTCTTGATACATTGGGTTACATAAAATATATTATTAAAAGCAATCCCAGGTCTTTCTTTTTGCTTTTTTTAATGTGGATACTAGAATATATAAAAATGTGGGTTGAATTCTGTTTTTAGTTGGGTAGTGCTGCTCTGGATCCTGTCCTCCTAATCCCATAGGGCACTCAGTGCAGAGGATGCTGGCATTTCTGGGCCATTTGGCTTCATCACCAAGTAACTTCATGATCTTGAGTAAGGCACTTTATACACCTGAGACTCGATTTCTTAATCTGAAAAATGGGGGAG